AGATACGGATAGAATCTAAAGTTTGCTATAGATCGACCGAAATATCCGAGCTTCGAATATTAAAAAGTATTTATCCTGCCTGTAGCGAAGTTTAGAAAAATAGATTAATAAAAAATACAACTCTAATTGTAATAAACTCTCGCTCTCACTCATACACTAATTGATCGGTGAAGTGCGTTAACCAAATAAGACGATGTGCTTAAATGGCATTAGAGGTAAAATAGCTGATAAAGAGAATGATAATAGACAAACATTAAAACATCTAGTGGCTTGTTTTTTTTGTGTTTTTCGTTGACACTTTTTATTTAAGTACTAAAATGTTTGTGAACAATATGAAATTTCAAGTTTACAACGGATTTTGATATACAACCTCAAAAATTTCGGGACAACGTTATTTTTCGAATTATCTCGAATCCCGTTTGTCCCGTCCCGAAAAATTTTCGGGACAGTCTCGTTTGTTCCACGGAACGAGACAAACGGGATTTTTCGGGATTCGGGACTGTCCCGCAGGACTCTAGTTGTACAGAAGAAGTATATACATTATGATAATATTTATAGAGTTATTTATCAGATGCTAGTCATGTATTAGTTACACTAGTTGTAACAATATTTACTCTGGAATAAATATAGACAGTATATGCCAATAAAACAAGATAAAAGATTTGTAAAAAAGGTATGATAGCGCAGTCTCTTTGCAACTGAAATATGGAACTTACATGTCTTCTGTATTTTCATTATGCTAATTCAAGAATAGGCAAAGTGTAAAACCTCTAAAGGACAATAGACCTTTCCAGCAATAATCGATTGTCAGCAAACGCTGTCTTTTTTTATTTCATGTCTCTTGTTGCTATTTGCTTCATATTTGTTTTCCTCTTTTTTTAAATTTCATTTTCATAATTTTTTATTCTTAGTCTAACAACTGATTTAATGGTCAAATAAGCTCGTTGTATACATTCGTTATATCTAAAATACACTGAGCAAAAATACAAGTTCAAGTCGACATTGTATTTCCTATTATGTGAGTTTCTTGATTTGCATGGCATTTATTATTGTTGTTGATAAACAAGTATATAAGCTGCTTTACTGATAACATCATCTTCATTAACATCTAATACTTTTGAATCATCAAATGTATGCCACTTTTTATCAATAGAATTTTTCGCATGTGTTGTATAATGTCCATCACCTAAACCACCCATATGATTACTAACAACAATCAAGTCATATTTTGCTTTCACTTTTTCAGCTGGGTTTACAACAAATTGTGATAGATCCAAATTATGTCGTGGACAATCAATTAATAAATCAATTTTATCACGAAAATAACGATTATAATTAAAACGTTTTAATTGTACAATTAAAACTTTAGGTAAAAGCCATAAATCCATTTTTT